TAGGGTCTTTTTCATTCGAGTTCGGGGGCGTAAGGTCTTAGGACTTTTGTGGCTTTTAGCGGTCTTGCCTGGGAGAGTTGATTTGTGTTGAGGAGATTCCCGATGCTGTGTTAAAGCCCCATCTTAAGCCTTAAGCCATAACAGACCTCTTCTGGCAAGTTCCATGCATCAATGGCAAAAGCTACAAGAAAGAGGAACGACAGCAACCCTAAACCCTAAACTTCTGGAGGGGGGTTCCAAATACACTCCCTCGTATTTCCTGTTTAGGCCTCTTATTTCCTGTTGAGGGTTTTCGGGCTTAACAGCCAGCAGGTCTCCCAATGTGACGCCGCCCCCCCCCCCAGTGCCACCTTTTTCTCAAGAATTCTTCGGATTCTTAAGCAAAAACAGGTCTTAGTAACAAAGTGGATTGCTTGGGCTGGAAAGCTTTGCTTTCCACCCAAGTAAATCCACACCTAGGCTTAGCCTCCGGCATTATCATTTTTGTCCAATTAAAGCTTATGAATTCCAAAGTCAAAAGGGGTCGAAGATCCCCTTTTGACATTTGGAGGCGTTAGTTCTCGTCGACCCTACTCTGGTGCCCGTAGTCTAGGGGTGGTGAATTTTATTATTGGGAGAGGAACTTGTTCCTTTCCCAAAGAAAGAGGAGGGGGTTTTCACCCCCTCCTCTCTTAGAAACACTAGTTAACCGATTCTTGGGCTAGATGGGAGCTTCGCTCCATCTACGCAAGTAATCGGTACTATATACGAAGAATGCGCATACATGCATGCATGCACGCATACGTGTGGAAGTCGGGTCCCCCTCCCCCCGCACCCCAAAACCCCCTTGCATCAAGATTTTAAACAGGTTTAGGGTTTAGGTTCAAGGTTTAGGATACAGGATTAAAAATCCCCTGAGAAGACCTTCTAAACTGACCTCAGGCGAAGGAAATGGGGCTGCCGGGCCCTTATCGAATCGGGTTCCATGGGCTTTTCATAGCCACAGGCTTCAAGCCTCTCCACCCTTAAAGCCCTAAAACCCTAACCCTAAACCCTAGCCCTAAACCCTAAACCCTAAACCCTAAACCCTAAACCCTAAACCCTAAACCCTAAACCCTAAACCCTAAACCCTAAACCCTAAACCCTAAACCCTAAACCCTAAACCCTAAACCCTAAACCCTAAACCCTAAACACTAAAACCCTAAACCCTAAACCCTAAACCCTAAACCCTAAACCCTAAACCCTAAACCCTAAACCCTAAACCCTAAACCCCAAACCCTAAACCCTAAACCCTAAACCCTAAACCCTAAAACCCTAAAGCCCTAGCCCTCAACCCTAAGCACTGTAATCAGCACCCAGAAACCCCAGTGGGCACTGTAAGCCCAAGCCCTGGATCCTCAAGGCTGTTGGGCAGGGATTTGGTTTAGGGTTTAGGGTTTAGGGTTTAGGGTTTAGGGTTTAGGGTTTAGGGCTTAGGAGGTGTTTTCACAAGTTCGAGCCCCGGCCCTCAACCCGCAACACTCCAACCCTGAATGAGCTCCACCATTTGCCCCAAACCCCAAACCCCAAACCCCAAACCCCAAACCCCAAACCCCAAACCCCAAACCCTAAACCCTAAACTCTATACCCTATACCCTACGCTCTAAACCCCAAACCCCAAACCCCAAACCCCAAACCCGAAGCCCGAAGCCCGAAGCCCTCACACCCTGCTCTGGACTGAGAGCTGCGGATTCATCACGCTGCTTTGCGAACTGGGTTTCTTAGGGCCCTGTTAGGGTTTAAGCGTTTAGGGTTTAGGGTTTAGGGTTCAGGGTTTGGGGTTTGGAGCTTTTTCATCGTGACGTTGTGCTTAGGGTTTTTGTCCCCAAACAGCGTCAAGACTAGGGGGTTCTAAAGTCAGATCGCAGAGTGCACGGACGGTTTAGGGCTTAGGGAACCCTAAACCCAAACCCTAAACCCTACACCTTCCTGCCTACGGCTGCCACTTTCAGGACCTTCCGCAGCGGGCCCATGGATGAGCTGGAACCGTCGCGGACGACGGCGGCGAAGGAGAAGCACGGCTGCACAAGGGAGCCTTAAATCCTCAACCCTAGACCCTAAACCCTAATCCCTAAACCCTAAGCCGTGAACGCCAACCCCAAACTCAAAGGCCTGCGGCCCTTAAACCCTATATCCTAAACCCTAAATTCCTAAGTCCTGAACCTTAAACCTACAGCCTCGATCCTTAACCGAGGGGGGGTAGTGCCTTGATTGGGGGTGTAGAGTTTACAGGTTTCGGGGTGATCTTTTAATCTCCCCTGTTGCATGAGAGGTAAGAGAAGGTTTAGGGTTAGGCTTCTTGTAACCCAAGCACAACCCTAAACCCTAAACCCTAAACCCTAAACCCTAAACCCTAAACCCTAAACCCACACCCAGAACATGTAGGTGATGGTGTGGGCTTAGCATGTAGTCTTAGGGTAGTTGAAGGCTCCCTCAGGATGGGCTCTGAATTTTGGAACCCCTAAACCCTAAACCCTAAACCCTAAACCCTAAACCCTAAACCCTAAACCCTAAGCCCTAAACCCTAAACCCTAAACCCTGAACCCTGAACCCTAAACCCTAAACCCTCTCTACCTATATATATTTAAACCTTAATGGGGTCGTTGGGCTTGTTTGTGGTTTCGTGGTTCCTAAATCCTAAATCCTACATCCTAGGTCCTAAGTCCTAAATCCTAAATCCTAAATCCTAAATCCTAAACCCTAAGCACCTCCCCGTCCCGGGGCCGCCCCCGGGACGGGTTGTCCTGGGGCCCCTCCGTTTTTTTTTGGTGCTTTTTCAAAACAATATTAATTGGTGGCGCAGTCCCTTTTTTGAGGGCGTTTTGAATCCTTTTGGGGCTTTTAAAGCTCTTTGGGGCTGTGGTAGTGCTTTGGGGTAAAATGGAGGGGCCCCGAAGCCGTCGATTTCAGTACTAAGAAACAGCACTTTTCATTGCGGGAGCAGGCCAATTCTGGGTCCCCGGGTTTTTTGAAGCCTCTTGGGGCTTTTGAAAGCTCTCTGGGTCTGGTGGTACTTTGCGGGAGCAGGCAAATCCTGAGTTCCACATTTTTTGGGTGCTTTTTGAAACCTTTTGGGGCTTTTGACAGCTATCTGGAGCGTTTGGGATTTAGGATGTAGGGTTCAGGGGACTTGGGCAGTAAGAATTGAAATGGTAGATAGGTTTGCCAAATGAAAGGGATTCTGGGCGGGTGGGGCGATGCCAAACACCCTTAGTGAATGCTTGGATCAGAGATTCTGAACCCTAAGCCCTAAACCCTAAACCCTAAACCCTAAACCCTAAACCCTAAACCCTAAACCCTAAACCGTAAACCCTAAACCCTAAACCCTAAACCCTAAACCCTAAACCCTAAACCCTAAACCCTAAACCCTAAACCCTAAACCCTAAACCCTAAACCCTAAACCATCCTTAAAACCCAAAGCCAAAGCAAAGAGAAGACGCAACCTGCCAAGGAAGTTCGACGCTGAAAAGGTCGAGGCCACGCCCTCTCATGTTTACATTCCGGGCCCAACCCTCGCCCGATATTCTCCTTTCGGACGCTTAACCCCTGTGTACGATGGGGGTCGGAACAATTACCAAACCAGCTGGTGAATAGGAGGAATTGCCCGTTTTTTGGATTCCTGCCCTAAGCCCCAAACCTACTATAGGGGTCGGAATGACTACTATTAGTCTTCCCTTATGGTCCCTAAAAATAACCCCCCCCAAACCCTGTTCTAATGATTAAGGCCCCCTCAACCTCGGAGTTTTTGCGTTAGGGTTTAGAGTTTGCAAGGTCAGACAAAAAGCTGAAGTTTCCTGCAGGCCATGGTAGACTTCCCGTTACTCGAAGACCAGACGCCTGGTTTGCACAATTTCCTGTGTGGGTTTGGGTTCTGTGGCTCCTTCCAAGTTGTCTCTATCACGCTGCAACGCGAATGTCCGCCGGTCTGGGGGAGTTCAGCTTCTCCGAAGCCCCAAGCCGTTTAGAAGCCCAACAAAAAAGATCCCTGAACCCGAAACCCTACACCCCAAGCCCCACACCCCAAACCCTAAGCCCTGACCCGACATCCTAAACTAAACATAATAAGGAATGCTGGAGCCCTGAGGGCAGAGTAGGAGACTTCTCGCGCCCGGTTTCTTCTGAGGGGTGTTCTCGTCGGTGGAGTGTCCCTTGGGATCCGAATGTTCTAAGGGGGTGGCGTATGCAATACCCCAAACCTTAAACCGTAAAATGTAAACCTTAAACCCCAAACATCAAGCAATAAACCCTAAACCTCAAACCCTACACCCAAACCCTAAACCCTAAACCCTAAACCCTAAACCCTAACCCTAAACCCTAAACCCTAAACCCTAGACCCTAAACCTCAAACCCCAAGCGCTAAACCCTACCCTCTTAGGTGGCTCCAAGCCGTGCCACCATCCACGCCTCCCCAGACGCGATCGAAGTCTGCGGCTGTGCTTCTTGTCATTGAGGGGTTTAGGGTTTAGGGTTTGGGGTTTAGGGTTTAGGGTTCAGGGTTTAGGGTTTGGGGTTTCGGGTTTCGGGTTGGTCGGTTTAGGGTTCAGGTGTTTAGGGTTAGGTGTTTAGGTGTTTAGGGTTTAGGGTTTAGGTTTCAGGGCTCAGGGTTCGGGTTTAGGGTTGAGGGCTTAACCCGCCCCACCCGCAACGCGCGTTCTTCCTGATGTGGTACAGCAAGCTCTCCAAACTGCCGTCCTGGGTGGCTGGCCAAGAGCAAGCAAAATAAGAGGGGGGGCAGCCGAGGGTTTAGGGTTTAGGGCTTAGGGTTTAGGGTTTAGCGTTTAGGGGGCAGTGGGAGTGTACGGTCATGAGTAAAAGCCTCCCAGCCAAGGCCATGGCATGCTTGGGGACATGCCAGGTGTAAAGTGACCACGCCAATGTCAGGGAGGAAGGTTGGCCGGCTGGGCAGCAGAGGCAGCTTGCGTGCCGTCCTTCTCCTTCATGGATGGGATGGGAGAGCATCCCGCAATCGTGGCAAGCATCTG